CTGAGCCAGGGTCCTGCTACTGAGCCAGGGTCCTGCTACTGAGCCAGGGTCCTGTTGCTGAGCCAGGGTCCTGCTACTGAGCCAGGGTCTTGCTACTGAGCCAGGGTCCTGCTATGTAACCTGGAACTCTCAATCCTCCAGCGTCTTTGCTGGAATTGCAGTATGTACCACCCTGCTCAGCTCCTTCTTGGTCTTGGCATTGAGCAACATGCTGCCAGATGCGGTCACTAGGTGGACAATGATGCTCTCTGGCTACCAAATGATTGGCTCTAGGCAGGCCTGGTGTTTGGATACCCTTGGCATTTTATTTATTTGGAAAAAGACTTCTTTACAGAAAGAAAAGGGAGGAGGCAATACGCCTCAGTATGATAACCCAAGCGGAAAAAAGGTTTTTAAAGTTCCTTTGGGTCCAGGGCAGCTTTTCTCCATCCACCCAGAGATGGACAGACCCCCAATGCAGCCTGCCTTACCTAATGCACTCCACGGACTCTGGTCTTGACTTCAGATCTTGATCTTTGGCTGCTACTCCAAAATGGATAGGAAAGAGACCCCCAAGGATGATGTCCCCCTTCTTTTGAGCTCGCTGGTCAGGCCCATAGGCAGAGGAGTGCCAGGCGAGAGCCAAGAGGGCCAAACAGCAGCTATAAGGTGCCATGGCTCTGCCTTCTCCCTAGGGGGACAATCAAAGGTGCTAGTGGTCTGGGGGCACGAGAACCCCCCCCCCCTTGGTGCAGTTCACGCCTTCTGGTGGGGACACATGTCTACAGAGTGGTTAATGACGGAATAGAAGTGACTGCATTTGCTTCTCCATTTCTGCCCTCTCCATGGCAGAAGTGTAGGGTGGGTGGTCCTCCAGTCCTGAGAAGCGACATCATGTAGAGACTGCCCCAGATGCTTTCTAAAAAAAGAGAGAGAGAGAGAGACAAAATGGATTCAGGCAAACCTACATCCCATCTTAGTACCATGACAGAGGTAGCTCAGAATTTCTGTGGCTTAGAATCACAGTTTTACTGAACTGTGTGTGAGACACAGAAACTTTCAGTCGCCCACATTGCAGAAGGACGGTATCCAGTTCTGAGAGGCCACGTTCTAAAGAGGCCACCCATAAACGTGGCCTGCTCTGCAGCCCCTGACCGTAAACCACTCATCTTTCTGCATGAAGGATGCATGGAAATGTCCCCAAAGTAGCAGCTCCTTCAGTTCAAAATACCAATGATACTTTATTCCCTGTATGTTCCTATAGAAAACACAGACCGAGTTACATTTCAGTTTAAATCTGACTTCAGATCAAGCAAAAATGTCAGAAAAGATCACTCATTCCTCATTTCTTTTGATAGCCTCACCCCTTTTAGTTAAGATCTCTGTTCCCAGTTTGTAAGGTAAGAGTTTGCAAGGTCTTTAAGAACAGTTCGTACCAAACACAGCCTCTTACGTGGTGGGTTGTAACATAGCAGGTCATGCGATTGAACGTGGGGGAGCCTGGAAAATTTGACAAGGGCCAGCAAGACGGCTCAGTGAGTAAAAGTGCTTGCTACACAAGCTGACGACCTGAGGATCTGAGTTCAGTTCCTGAAAGCGGAGAATAATGGACTCTGAAATGTTGTCCTTTGATCTTAACCTGCCCAGTGGCAAACATACTCTCCCCCAACTCCTCTCCCCTCCCCCTTCAATTTTAAAAGGAAAATAAAGATTTTATGAAGAAACATTGGCCAGAAATTAATTCCAAATCAAATGCATGATGGATCTGAGGTGCTTCTGGTCGCACCTGCCCAGCCAGGCTGTGTCATGTGACTTCACCTCAGCCTTGGTTCTGAACACACAAGTACTTTGGTGCTAGCATGCCATCACCCTAGGTGACACTCTAATGCTCCCAGGAAGGCCTTCTTTTAAGGCGATTATGTGTATGAGCTGCAGTGTTTTATTAAACAACCGAAGTTTTCTGTTCTTAAACATAAGGGTTTAGTAGAGGAAAACAGATGTATTTAATATGTCCCTATTGCTGTTCCTCGGCATGTATCCAATCATTGTATCTTCAGATTGTATTGTGTCAGAAGGTTTGATCTTGAAACTTTGCCATTCGAGTTGCTGACTTGAATGTCTTAAAACAAACAAACAAACATACGACAGATTTTGGTGTGGGGTTGGGGAAAATTTTCAACAGTTTCTGAAACGGTCCTAAATAGACTTCTGTCATTTTGTAACACATATTTATAGAAAGTGGCATGCTCGACATTGATGATTATAAATCAAGTATCAATGAACTCTCAAGAACATTGAAGATGAGGCATCGTTGTTAGCTGAGATTTAATTTTTTATGTAAAAACAAACAAGCACACCCATCTTATTAATATGCAGATTCTGTTATCTTTAATACATGTTAAAATTATATGCATACTAAATGTCTTATAGTATTATTTTTTTAAATACAGGATCTCTCTATAGGCCTGGCTGGCCTGGAGCTCTCTATGTAGACCAGGCTGGCCTCAAACTCACAGAGACCCCCCTGCCTCTGCCTCATACTCAAAGGTATGCACTATCATGCCTGGCTCTCAGTTAGCCTTAATTACCAATTTGACATAGCCTAGAGTTATTTGAGAAGAGTCTTGATTTAGAAATTGCCCATATAAGATTCCCTGTGGGTATATCCACACAGGACCGTCTTGATTATTAATTAGTGCAGGAGGGCCCCAGCCACTGAGAATGGCACCCTTCATAGGTAGGTGGTCCTGGGCTGTAGAGGAAAGTTGGCTAATTATGACCCTGTCAGGGAGCCTGTAAGCAGCACTCCTTCATGGTTTCTGTCCACGTTCCTGGCTTGACCTCCCTCAGTGACAGACTTTGATCTTCAAGTGTAAGATGAAATAAACCCTTTCTTCCTCTAAGTGGCTTTTTGGGGGCGGGCAGGGTTTCTCTGTGTAGCCCTGACCATTCTGGAACTTGCTCTGTAGACCAGGCTGGCCTTGAACACAGAGATCCTCCTGCCTCTGCCTCAAGTGCTGGTATTAAAGGTGTGAGGTTTTTTGTTTTTGTTTTTTCATAGTAACAAGATGAAACTAGAACGTTAAGTAACTACTTTAGATACCTTTATTTCTGATTTATTATTGGTAAAGATTTTATTTGTGTGACTATTTTATATGTCTATATACCTAAAGCCATATCAATTTTTTTTTTTCAGGAAAAAGTGGTGAGAAGTGAAGAGGTATGAGAATCCCTGTGGTAAAGGATTCAGGTTCATCGTAGATCAGTCACAGATTCTGAGGAAGCTTTCTGCTGTAGCCTGATCAGCCTGCTGGGAATCCTGTGCTGTGCCCATCCCAGCAGATCCCTCCTGGGGGGGGGGTCAAATACCGGTTGCTTTTTGATGTTGGCTCAATATATCAATGTAGTCTTTTCTCAAGTTCAGGGCCAAGGACTGTACTGTCAAGTGGATATCTTCATCCAGATGTCCCTCCCAAGCTGCTTCATCCTAGCATGCCCTAAGCTCCCCCCCCCCCCAAATTGCTTGTTTTATATTACAGAAAATGATTTCCTACCCACCAAGAAACAAGCAGAGGACTCATCCTTGTTTCTCGGCCCTCCCATGATCACCCTTCACACAGGACCACCGTGGAACCTTCTTCCTAAATCCCCCCAGAATCCACCTAATTCTCCCATCTTCTCCCAAATTGGAAACTCACCAAATTTCCAAGGGCATCTAAAGTCAATTTTTTTTTCTTACCTGAATTTATACATTTTTCCCCCTAACTTGCCTTCCCAGTGTGAGGGAATTTTTATTGCTGCTTAGTTGTTGAAACAGGTCTTGTTAGAACTCCCTATGTAGCCCAGGCTGTCCTCAAACTCAAGAGTCTCCTGCCTCAGCCTCAAGGCTTAGGGGCCTGTCCCACCATCCTCGGGTTCCAGTCTCAGCTTTGGCCCTTTGCAGTGCATCTTTGCAAGCCTGGCTGGGCTGTGTGGAGCGGGTTCCTCACCCCCCGATTCTGCTTCCCTTGCTCTGCTGCGTGGAGGTGGATGTGACAGCTGAGGTCCCCCTGGGACCTGGAGCCACGCTCTAGGGAATGCTGGCCCTGCAGGTGAAGACTCTCATGGAGCAGAATGTCACCACTGGACTGATCCTGCCCCTCCTGTGGCAGAGAAACACGTTTCTGACTTGCTGAAGGCTCCGTTTTTTCTGCATTTTTTCCTAACTAATTATTCCTAACAGTACCCATCCTGGACTCATTTGTTCTCTTTACACTAAGTGTATTCCATTTAAATCACATCAGTTCTGTTTGCCTTCCTCCAAAGCAGCATCACACACAAAGCCAATGCTAATATTTGTTTTTGTTTTTTTTCTGACTGGCAGACACAGAGCGGAAGCAGTTGCTTCCATGGTTTAGCAGATCCTCGCCATGAGGAGGATGTCAGGAAGGGTGTTTCAGGACAGACAGGTGAGTTCTCCTTGAGTTCCTTACCCAAGAGATGTGGGAGGGAGCTGTGAGCAGACTGGGCTATGGGGTTTCTAGGTGGGTGATTATTCACTCCAGGAATTTTTTTTTTGGCTTCCTTTCTGTTAGTGTAAGACACTAGAGAAAGAAATGTGAAATTCTTGCCTTCAAGCTACTCATGGTTTAAAAGGAGACAGGAGACAGAAACTGCATTATAATCACAACAGTGCAATTATTATAATGAATTAAGAACGAAGGCCAGAGCCAGCACAGACCGAGTGATGGGTTCTGGTGATGGCTTTGGGAATGAATTGAGTCACAGTTTTGAGTGATGCCCAGCACATTGGGGACAGGGCCTGTCTCTTTCTCATTGTTGTAGTCTACCACCAAGTACCACCAAGTACCACCAAGTACCACCAAGTACCACCAAGTACCACATCTGAGACTTAGTGGATGATACACACATATTTGCTAAGTGAGTGGCTAAAATGTGGCTGGTACAGACCAGGTCTGGCTGGGCAGCTTGCAGACAGAACAGGGATAGCAGCCACCCCACATGACTTAAGGACTCTGTGGGCAGGACTTCTTCGTGATCTCAGTTGCATCTACAGCATTGAACAGGGAACCTGAATCTGAATGGATACTTAAAAAAAAAAATCTATTGAACTTGCCTTTGTGTGAAAAAAATAATAGGAAGTCCTTGGCTCATCTAAGGTCCACAGTCCAGATCAAGTGGCTGAGGATAAAGACAGGCTGGTCACCAACATTTCGACTTTCAGTTTTCACCAAAGTAAAGCAAGCCCTCTCTTACCTCCCTTTGGTTTCAACATTTCTGGAAGCTGGGTAATTAATTCTCCAGCCAAATGATTCTGTCCACCAGAGAAAACTGAGGCACAGATCTTCTGAATGTAAAACATCTACATAGAGTTAAGGCACGGCACACTCAAAAACTAGAATTTCTCAATTTCGGAGTTTTAGAAATAGAATTTCTAGATCGTCTATGAAAGAATATGGAGGAAAAAAATGTTTACAAAGCCGAACTGATTTGCAATGGATGTCACCTATCTTTCGAGGCTGAGCACCTGGATTTCTCCCTGGTTATTGTAATCTTTGTTCTCTGTCCCACGGACTGTGGAGCACAACCAGTTTGAACTACCATTGTGGGAAGGATAATGTGTCAGTGAGGATGAACAGGAAAAAATAACTCCGAGAGTTCAAATAACGATCAGCAAACTTGTGTACCTGGCTCTGGTTACAGCTTTCCTAACTCTTGCCGAGGACCGTTCACGGTAAAGGCTTCTATACACACTTGTTGCCTAAGAATTGGGGAGGGTCATCCTATCTGCCATCATCAATGTGACCATCCCCCATCAGCCATGACTGTCCCCAGTCCTAGGTCCTGTCTGCATTTCTTCTGTCCCAAGGCCGGACATCTCTTGGTTTACAATGGAGTCTCTTTCAGCGCTGTAGGGAG